CTGGGCTTCATTCGCAACTCCGGTTGCCTACATTACCACCCTAGTTCGAACTAGGGTGGTAGTGTAGACATACCCTGAGCTAGTTATAATTAGTTAATAATTATATATAATTAACCATATAATTTTAAAGTACAAGTGCACATATGAGTCTAATGAGCAGGCATAAGTTTAACTGTAGTTTTCCTATGACATGGAGTGGTGTGTTTTGTTTAGAGGCAGAAAGTGATGACAGTTTTTGTTAATGGTATTAACTCTTTGTTTTGCTTCACTGGCTGTCTCCAATTTCACTCAGATCTCTGCTCGGTGTTTTTGCTCATACTGAATCATATTTTACCTTTACATTTGTTCCTCCATATTAGTGGTAAAGGCCTGAAGAGTTTAGTTCAAATATCATAGCTTTCTGTTCATTCTGTACTTTGTGTAGCCCATCTTCTTTGAGGTTCAATGACTCTCAGCTTCAGCTATGTGCTTGATGTGTCACCTCTAAATTTTATAAATTCTATTTCAAGTGTGGCAGCATATTCATTATTATGCTGTGATTCTGGAAGACCTGCATATTCCACAAAAACAGAAGCCACTGTTGCAGAAACAAGAGGCTAGACTTTATTTTTTTTAATGTTAACATGCTGCTCAACAAAGGAAGTTCTACTCACAGATTTAGAGACCTTAGGCTTATGTTGGACTGAAGCGATGTCAATTTTCACCAGCTGAAGATATGACATTCTCTGACTATCTTTCAGTACTAAGGTGCCAGTATTCAGTTCTCGGGGTCAGTCTGATAAGTGGCATGCTCTCTATCTCAATGTAAGCTGTCACAAAATATACATGTTTACTTGACAAGCCCCATTTGGCGGAGATTGCAACTGATTTGAGACGCTCTTTGCCTTGTAGAGTCTCATCACATGCTAAGGATCATTTGATCTGTTTATTAAGCTGAGTTTGTCTTTTGTTGGAAAATTGAGCCTATGCTGAACATTGGCTTATGAATGTCTCCACGCTGCATCCTCCAGGAATATTATAGGCAACATGCACAAAGAATATGGGGATTGCCCCAAGACTTCCTTTTTCTTACGGACTGCAGAACGCCTCTAATGCCTTAGGTTGTCATCTGATTTCTTCCACATTGCCTCCTTTTCCTTAGTCTGTTCCAGGAATTTTTCTTTAAAGAGAAGATTCCCCCTGTGTAACTGTTGATATTCCTAGTTTATAGGATTTCCTGTGTAATTGGGAAATCTCTGACTTGTGACTACATGTACTATTCACTTGCTAAACAGAGGGAAAATTCTATTGGAATCCATGGTGCAATGCTGAATTCTCCATGTAACTGATACTTTTGGCTCAATGCAGAATTTTCTATCTAAATGGGAAATTCTCAGGCTAAACAGAGGAGAGACTGTGCTGGAATTGTAGGCTTTAAATTGCAGAGATCTCTATTTAGGCTGTGTCCAGACTCAGGGGTTTTTTAAAAAAAAGTAGCCTTTTTTCGAAAAAACTTCACCTGCGTCTAGACTGCAGCCGCATTCTTTCGAAATTAAATCGAAAGAATGCGGCTTTTCTTTCAACGGTGGTAAGCCTAATTCCATGAGGAAGAACGCCTTCTTTCGAAAGTGCTCTTTCGAAAAAAGGCGTTCTTGAAAGCAAACAGGCTTTTTAGAAAGAGAGCATCCAGACTCACTGGGTGCTTTCTTTCAAAAAAGCAGCTTGCTTTTTTTGAAATTCCGCGTGCAGTCTAGAGGCTCTTTCGAAAGAGGCTCTTTCGAAAGAGGCTTGCAGTCTAGACATAGCCATAGAGATTAGCTTTCTTTTTCCAGTTCCTTCATTTGTACACTGAAGGAAGGGAAACCTCTAAGGATGCATAAGACACCTTTGTGTTTCCTGTGTTCTGGATTCTTGCAGAGGTCAACACAATCCACTGGTGTAAGTTAGAGTAGCCTCAAGAGTACTCTAGCTCAGCTGAGGCCAACCCGTGGCTTGCGAGCTGCATGA